CTATGTCGCAGAGGCGTAGCACATGATAATGATCCTTCATCTTGTAAATTATAATTGTTCTTAAACGCACAAGTATAAATATCAATCCGAAAGGGATCGCTTTCCATAAAAAATTTGAAAAAAAATTAAAATATTTTGTTATTTGTCCAACAGGTGGCGCGCGCTACAGTACGCAGGGTCTTCGACGTGGGTGAGTGAAATTTATTTTATCTTTTACCGGCGTAATTATTTGTGGACTCTAATTAATTGCGTAGGGTCGTGCCGCAAATCATCCCTCTTTTGAGTTAGATGCCGCCGAAGGGCGACCCCTTTTGAAAGCGCCGTATTCAAAGGGCTGTTTTCACATGTTCTCCGACGTGATTTGTGTTTTTTTAATATTTTAAAATATGCAGCGAGGAGTTAGATTTCGACTTTTTTAAGGAGCCCCTGATACATTTTTCACGGATATTTTTGCTCCACTCTCCGGGGCATGGGTAAAGTGACTTTTGTAGGCCTTAAAAATGTAAAATTTAGCGAATGTCGAATTTCGGTTGCCCGATGATATAATGATGTAGGAGAGGGTGGGCTTTTTATTTTTTTTGGCTTTTAACCATCAAGTACCCTATACGCGCAAGTACGCTATAAAGAAAATTATGTAGGTACGTACATATTTTTATTTTATATAAAAATAGAAAACTAATAAGATTGAACTGAGGTGGCTTTTAATTGACGAAAATCACAAAAGAAATAAGAACTAAAAGTTCAGATTTTCACGATAATATATATATTCACATGACAATTGTTTCGACAACACTGTGTCTTTATCAAATGTAATATTTACAAACTACCTGCTACTATATATACCGAAAAACGACAATAAAACCTTAATTAATGTTGTGAGAATATAAGTTTAATAATGGACAGGTATTTAAATCTAATTATAAATGTGTTTTTCTGTCTTTAATTAGAATCTAGAATTCTAGATTATTGTTTTTAAATGCCCTTTTTTGTTCGTTAATGCGTTTCTTGAAGGATCTACTTCTTCGTTCAATATAAATTTTAGGACATGATCCGCATTTCAAACCTGTAGACACCGGATTTTTGATATTTTGGACATTCGTAATATTTAAGTTTAAAAAATTAATAGAGTTATCCTATTCAATCTCGATAGTGAATTTTATACGATTATGTAATGAGTTAATGTAATTTAAAAAAGAATTCAATTGTCTGTCCGTTCCAACAAAGCAAGCAAAGACATCATCCACGTATACTATACTAGGAAATAAGTTTTGTACAGTGTTACGTTAGAAGGGATTTTGAATCTTTAATTTTGCTGATTAATTCAAAAGAATTTTTTATTGAAAATTTTGGTTTAAAATCTGCGTGGGACTTCAAAATATTTACTAATTTTATTGAGAGTTTAACTGTTGGAGCCGTTACATAAGACACGACTGGTCTAATGGGCCTATCTTGTTTATGTAATTGAACTAAAGAATATAATTTGGGCTGTTGTGGATTCATAATTGTTAGTAATATCATAATAATAAATAATAAAGAGGCCGAAACGCGTTAACGTCATCGATTATTACGGCGCACTGCATAGTTTCAGAAAAGTTTTATTTTCTCGAAATCCATTTACTATTTTTAAAAAATTCTTGGACCAGGAAATATGGAAGATCCAGGGCTATAATCATGTACAGGGTGTGTATGTGTATATGTGTATGGTCAGCCGTTAATGCAATACTATAAAATTTGTAAAAATTTGTTCCAAACAGTTTCGTAAATTGTGAGGAGAGAGAGGTTCAGGTTTCGTCTATCATACATGGTGCCCGAGATATTTGGTATATTATAATTGGAAATCGTTATTACTTGTACAATTTTTTATGTTTATATGTCGTTACTTTGAAATTCGGCTATAAGTAAAACACGCTTTATACTGGGTGTGTACACAATATAGTTACCTCCATTTTGTGAAGGTTCCATAGTGTCCCGCAGGAGCACGATAGAAAAACAATGCATCCCTCTAGGACAAGGAAACGTGAAGTGACTTCTGTTTGAAATACAAAGCTGCTTGATTTTTTTCTTGTGTTATTTAAAGACATATAACAAAATAAGGGTCACTTTGTTGGGGAAACAGCAAGTTATATGCAACTTTTTCTAATTTAACCATCTTCGTATCCCTTTTAGTGTTCAATATCCCCATTACAAACATCCTTATCTTGGACAGACTGTATGTGAACGGTATTCTCAAGACTTTAATTATTAAATTGAGTATTTGATTAACTAGTGTCGCAAAAATAAATTATTTTTATGGGTGACGGTATCCGTTTACAATTACGGGACTGCGGTTTGAACGAAACGGAAACAGAATCGTCCCAAAAAATATTTTTGGAACTAAACTGATCTGAAGATTAGCTGGAAAAATGCATGTTTAATAGTTTCTTTCGAGTGTAAACGTTGCGGTTGAAGTTTCCCGTCCAATAGCGGAGGTAAAAAGTATTAGTCACCGCGAGGAGAGGAAAAGTCGCATGGAGCGAAATCTGGTCGATCATAAAGCGCAAATCGGTTCCCATTTAGGTTTTCATTGTTAGGTGTTTATCGAGCCTAGGGAAAATAGGTACTCATAGTTCAACTAGGATAATCGATTCTGGCCAAAATATATTTTACATTTTTTCTACAAAAATACTAACAAAATCTGCTTATTTCCTTTCGCGAATATCATTTCAACGTAAGTAAAGGTTTTATTATTTGTGTATAAGTATCTCATTCTTTAAGTTCTTTGTCAATGGTCTATTTTTTGTATACGAGGCAAGGTTTCAATTTGATGTTTTTCTAGCCACAATAAAAGAGTTACTTTTTTGAAGTTCGTTTACATCTTTTAAAAGGACTGCTGCAAGGTGACAGTATGTTCCGAAATGGTTCCACCAAATTTTATAGCATATTCTACATCGAACTTAAGCCCTAGTTTCCTGTTCAAACCATTCTAGGAATTTCATTGACATTTTCGGGCAGCGAAAATCTTTTTTTTTTACGAGAAATATGTTACGAACAAATTTAATTTTTTTACTTTTTTTTTCGAACGGTACACCGTTATCGAGTCAAAAAAATAAAAAAAAAACGTTATGATAAACATTCAAAATCTAAATCTGAATGGTAAAAAAATTAAAACAGGTGAAAATATCTTTTTTCCTGCAGTGTTCCAACTGCCTATAAAATGTCTAAAGGGATTAAAAATAATGATAAAAATTCTATTATAATTGCAACACCCTGTATCTCGGAAAGCACGCATTTGCGAACATCTTGTATCTAAGCTTAGAGCTATGGGCCTGGGGGCTGGGCTGGTGCTATATCTCAGGTAAAATTGATATTTTTTCAAGAGTCCCCCAAGGTTCTCGGAGTGTCTTAGAGGGTTGGCTCACGCGAGGATGCTCTGCTGCTTCACGTGGACATTGTTTGCATGTGGTCTTCAATATGAAAATTGCTGTAGTATTAGCTTTAGTATTTCGATGAATATGATTCGCGACCGACATAGCATTGATGAAGTCGAGATCGAGGCCTCCACTAAACATTTGGGTGTTTGCTTCGATTCTAAACTTTTGTCTATGCGAGTCCTTGGGTTTGGTGTACGAAATAGTGGCCAATTTACTACACATTGCTTTAAACTCCTTTATATGTCTTTGGTTGGCTCTAGACTGGAGTATGCATCTGTGGTATGGTCTTTATATTATGCCTGCCATCGAAGCCGTTCAGGAAGTATTTTTAAGATCTTTGGTTTCAAAGGGTCAAGATCAACTACAATGTTATAACTAAGACTTCAGTATTGATACTCTTCGAACCAGAAGATTTCAGCGTGATTTAGTTTTTCTCTATAAGATTCTGAATAGTTGGTATTATTGTCCAGGCATTTTTACTTAGCATACAATTTAACGCATATTACAGAGGCTGTGATAACTCAATGTTCCTCATACCTTACCATCGCGCAAATGGAGTTTATTCACCCCTTACTAGAATGCTGAAAGCGTGCAACTGTTTAAAGCTTGATCCCTTTGTCGGTGGCCTCCGCTCATATATTTTGTTCTGGTTTCTGGCTATTATACTGCAGTCTTTCTCTCTCTTTGCCTTTAATGAAGTTTTGTAAATAGGTTAAACCGTAAATAAATAAATAAATAAAACTAAATACATAGAAAATGGCTTCATTTTCAGCTAAATGAAGGTTTTTAAGAATTTTCTTGGATTACGAAATCTTACAGACAAACGAGCTAATCCTTTATCCTTGTCTCCTGCGGAGTTTTTAAATATCGCTCCCGATTCGGCGTTATTGCGACTGGCGGGTGGGGATAGGTCGGGTTATTTCCGATTTCCGGGTCCCGAAAGAAAACCGGAAACCTTTCCGGTAATCGGATATTTTAGACAACGGAAAGGGACGTTGAGGTGGGGCCCGAAATTACTCGTTGGAAATCGACCTACATTTTTTCCGATTTTATTTATACGACCACGGGGGCCTCCAATATAGATTTTTTTTTACCAAAAATAATTTCATCACCCTAGTTTAGTTAAATTTATACGTTTTGCCCAGCTTATTTTAACAGAATAAAAATTAGGCCCTATCTCGAAGAACAATTGTCGTAAAGACTAGAATGGGCGCTAGGGGCTATTCTTCAATTTTAAATTTAGTGTTTTAACGAATCTGGTTAATCAACTTAGCTAGGTGCAATGAAATATTACCGAAGTAGGTAAAGCATTGGAATCTACGTTCTGGAGGTTTTGGTTATATATATATATATATATATATATATATATATATATATATATATATATATATATATATATATATATATATATATATATATAATAAGATGAACCGACGAATGATCATCATCGTCAATTCCTTATTAAATGCTTCATTTCAAGCATATAAGACAAAGAAATAAACCAGGCAAATTTACGGGAATATTGAGAGTTGGAGGAAAATTGCAGCACATTGTCAATTGATGTGGAAATTTCGAATTTAATTCTTCGTTCTATATTAATTATATATTTATTTCGTTGTTTTTGTGCTTTATCGACTAATCGGTACCTCCAAAAACTAGTGCTGAAGCAGCACACTAAAAACCTTTACACAGTTACACCATTTTTCTCTATTATATCTTCCACGAGTTTTTATATTAATATCTTGCCAAAACCAATTGTACCATTTTTAAATATCCATATCTCATCAGTACAAACAAAACGAAATTGAAGGTTAGGATCTACTTTTCCTTGCTTCAATTCAATTCAATTATACGTTTCACAAAAAAATGTTGGGCTCGACTGCTAGGATCATTCGCCCATTGCCGACTTCCGTCGAGGATTTTCGCTTCTGGTCAATGACCACCACGTACAAAGAAGAAAAATAACCAATAATTTGCTCAGCTAGCAAAAAACGATTCTGACCGATACCAAAAAAATCGGCTTCCCCCCGCTTCCACACCGGACCATCCGGGCCCATCCGGCCTCCATACCTGCGTGAACAGGGAACGGGGCCAACGACGATTATCACTTTAAAACGTACGCTGAACACTCAAAACACTAAATCCACACCGTGGAAACCGATATCAAACTTATTGGGACGAATACAAGGGATTCTGTCGGGAGCGAACGGAGGTTAAACCGCCGTGTGCAATGCTCCACCACAGAATCCTTTTCCTTGCTTATACGTTCTTAAAAATGTAATCTTCTTGAAAGCTCTCTATCCTTGGATGATTTTTCTCCCAATTACAGTCTTTTTTTTTTAAATAAACTACTTAACCATAAATTGTAAAAGTCAAATAAACAACACAACGTTTTAAAATTGTGTTTATTCGGTAGTTTATATGGCATACCCAATAATACATCTCTCTCTGTCTAACGTACACAGTTAAATATATCAAACTCTTGACTGGAACCTTCGGCACTGCACTAACACACAATAACGCGTTTTACCACAAACCGAAACTCAATTTTACGTACCCGACGGGCGTTTCGACAACCAAGTTGGCATCTTCAGGAGAAGATTAAAACTCTTAGAGTTATTGTGTGTCAGTTAAATAGAGACAACAGTAGCAGAACCGATCGGAACGACAAACGAATAGATTTAATGCCAACTAGTAAATATTTTGTTTCAATGGTACGAAATTTAGTAATCCCATAATCTGTTATTATTTTTAATTTGTTAAATTGTGATTTTTTCGTGACGGTCGTAGAAAATGTATAGTATGCAACACGTCTGGGAAACTTTTTAAGCCATTCGCTTATTAAACACTCGTGATTCAAATGCTGTTTACCACATTTGTTGCATAATATACGATTTTCACTCTTTTGATTTCATGAATACAGTTTAATTATTATATCCTAAAGCTTTTACTATTTGTAATGACGAAGCCAAGCCCTTTTACTGCTTCGTTAATAAGCATCAGTGTAGTGTTTAGTAAATATCGTCTTAGACTGATATTAAGTGATATGAAGTTTCAAAAATATTTACAATTTTGTATATTTTTGATGTATAATGAGAAGACGACAGCCGTTAAGGGAAACCTATAGATTTATAGTACTGTATTTTGAAAAACTAACAGTTTTAAAAGTCATGTGATGATATTTTCTATTGGAAAACGGGACCGCCGGTTTTATTAGAGCCCCTCCGGGCAAAAAAGTTAGGTCTCCGCCGCTGTCCGATTTTCATAAAATACCGCTCAGCGTCCTCCGAAAGAAACAAAAAAAAATAACCATGAATAAATCCCGTCGTCTTAACGAGCGAGAGGAAAAAATCGGTCCAATGACGAAACCGGCCTCACACCCACACCCCGTGCCGATTGGCCGGATGACGGCTTACGAAACGGTGCCGACCGCCCGCGGGGGCTCTTTATCTGCCACCGAATCTCCGGGCCGACTAATTGGCGTCGGAAATTCATCAGTTGCCAGAAACGGATCGGGAGCGCGACCATGTACCACCCCGATGGTACCGAGTACGCCCGAAACGTCGGGACCGCGTCTCCGTGCCGTGACTGTTTCTGCCCCTGCCGACGGCAGGACGCGCCGCCGCCAGGGTTGAAATGGGAACAGTTTTTCGACCCCGACGACAACGGGGAGTACGGTTTTTGTGGCGAAAGTTTCGAAAACAGCGACCCACCTCAGGACGCTCGGCAGTGCGTCGGTTACGAAGAATACGGTACGTATGTGAAGCTGCGTAGAAAGCTTTTCGATTAAATTTCGTGCGAACCTACACGGCGCGTCGTTACTTAAGTTCTAATGGGCAAAAAAGTTACGTAAATAACAATAAGGTATACGAGGGCTATCGTTTGTATTTCAAGATTTCTAATAAAAAACTATAAGCTACCGATAAAAGTGACTTTATTGTCTCTCAAAATATTCATCCCGATGATCAATATACTTCCCTTTTTTTTCCCACATCGAGTCGGGCACCTCCAAAACATGCCTTTCAAACGTATCAATCGCTTCTTCTGGTTATTTATTCTTAATGTATGGGATTAAAAGAAGTCATTAGGTGCTAAATCAGAACTATATGGATGGCTCATCAAATCAACGTTTTTAATGCTCAAAAAGTTCTTTGTTTGCACTGATCGGTCGTCGTGGAGAGTGATTCGTCTTAGGCGGTTGATTTTTCCAATTTATTTGAAGACTTTTGGGCAAACAAATGGTTGTGTACCATTCCTTGACTGTTACCTTTCATCAAAAAAACAACGAACAACTTTTGTGAGTTCATTCTGAAAGAACCACACAGTCGACTGCTGCTTACTTTCAGGTTCAGGTAAAAAATGATTGCACGAAAATGCTCCCGATTAAGTTCCATTTTTAACTGTCACGATTTTTTTTAATTTATCACAAAAAACGCAAACAACACTCTTTCGCCAAAACCTAATCCACTAAACCTAACCTCAAAATGTCAAACTTCCCTATGAAAACGTTAGTCGCCAGATGGCGGGACTAGTTTAAGAAAATCCCGAAATATAAAAGGCAGCCCCCGTACTGTCCAATAAGTTTGCTATAACACTAGAGTATACTATTAAATTTAACGCTGTACCGTGCTTTCGAATTTATCTTTATAACATTTTAATTGGCTGTAACTTTTTTGTTTTTAGAGATATCAAGGTAAACAAAAAAAAAAGAAAATGTAGTGTTAGTAGCCGAGTTTTTTCCTAGTGACGTATAAAACAAAACACTATCAATTTTCTGATGCATAAGCCTAGATAATATTTTTTTAAATAGAACACCCTGTAAATTATATTTGTATTTAATGTAATATCTTATTCCGATTACAATGATGTAACACACTTTATACTTTAGTCCACTCGTTTTTGACAAATCGTCAAAAATATGAAATTATAGTATAGTTTCAAAGAGTGTCCTGACTGACAAATAAAAATATGTGAGAGGTGTCATGTGCTTCAAGTATACATTCTGAACAATAAAAGTGCAACCTCAGTTCGTCGTCAGTAAATTATACTTTATCCGGAGCGCCGATCTCCTTCAAAACAGATATTTCCAAGGCTGGCAAAGAAATTTACAGAAAACGGTAACGTGTTAAATGATAAAAAGGGTATGCCGAAATGTTTTAAATGAAGAAAATAAGTCAAACATATTAGGATTTTATGAAGCATGTATTTCTCGGAAATCAATCCACTCGTTTTGAAAGAATATAAATACATATAATGCATTTACATTTTGTAAAACTCAAAAACTAAGTGTCGAACAATGTCAAAGGGGGATGCAGTTTTGTTTGGATTTTTTAAATGGACATAATGAGAATAATAGTTTTTTCAAAAACATTTTATGGACCTATGAAAGTTAGTTTACTAAAACAAATGGTAGTAATAGACAAAATACACGATATTTGTCTTTAAATAATCCTAGACAAATACACGAAATAAAACCCCCGGAGTACCAATGAATTAATGTATGGTGCGGTGTCATAGATGGGCATATTTTGGGTCGGATATTCAAAAGTTAACTGGAGAACATTATTTGTAAGTCTTAGACCAGCAAATAGAACAATATATAGATGATTTACTCCTAAATATATATAATATTAGAACAGTTAAAGAATTTTCTACCTTAGTATGTCTTGTCATTTTTAGTGTTTTTGTTTTACTTTAATTTGGTAAATAATTATTGTTGTTGCACTCAGTCACAGCACTTTTTGAAATTATATAAAAATTTATGTTGTTATGTGTTATATCATTGTAATCGGAATAAGATATTCTAGTAAACATGTATAAAATATACGGGGTGTTCCATTTAAAAAATATGATATAGGCTTATATGGCCGAAAATGGATATTGTTTTGTTTTATATGTCACTTCAAAAAAGATTTGGCTACGAAGCCAACATTATATTTTTTTATTTATCTTGATATCTTTAAAAACAAGAAAGTTGTAGCCAATTAAAATGTAATCAAGATAAATTGAACGTACGGTGCACAGTGTGCCGCCTAAAATTAGAAGCTTGGACAAATAATAGTAAAAATGAGCAACAAAGTTACATAAATATCAAAGTATACTATTTAATAAGTTTGCTAGAATATTAGAGTATACCATTCAATTGATTGATAAAAAAAAATAATAAAGGAAACGTTGTACTGTCTAGGTTTATATTTCAAAATTTTCCAAGTACCTTCTCAATTTCAGGTTGATTTCACGAAACTGTTGAGGGCTCGAAAAACTTCGCAAAGGTCCGTTACGGAGAACAGAGAGCAGAAAAAAAATATAAAACCTTTTTTATAGTTTTGTGGGGTTTCGTTTAGTGAGAAGCGTAGATACTTTTGGATCTATTTAACGTATCTTCCAACTTTGTAGTACTTGATTTTATATCTGTACCAAAGAGCCAAAGCTTATCAAGTCTCTAAAATTTTACAGGAAAGCAGTTCAAAAGTTGTGCACGAATTATCCATTAAATTAACTCAACTTGACTTATATTTAACACGTGGCTGTACATATAAACATAATATAGTCGTCTTGATAAAAATCTTAGTAAAAATAATTTTTTTTCTTTATATGGAGGTAATTGGTCCTTAAAAATATTACTACTTAGTATTTTGTGCTTTAATTTTAGTTTCAAAAATCAAAGTTGTTTTTATTTATTTTTCTTTCTTCATTTGAATTGATTTTAAAAACTAACACCTCATAGAATGAACTCTAGTCAGTACTTATTTGCACACAATGCAACTCAATGCAAAATGTCCACGTGAAGAAGATAATCGCAATGGAAGGTAGAACCAAGCCTATTATTTTTTCATGGTTGTGGTCACAAATATTTGAAATGCCCTTAATAATTGAATTTTCAAAATTTAATTCTACCCAATTCATCTTTCGGTGGATATTGAAAGAAGCAACATTTATTTATCAGTAGCGAAGACTAGGGACCACACACATAATTTTTTGACTCATCCCAAATATTATAATCCCCCTGAAACGGGCCCTATGTTATTGTAGATGGTCCGTGAAATCGACCTTAATCGTCCAAATAGTCCGAAATCTCGCGCCGGTTGTGCTCGTAATTCTTTGACGTTGACGAATGGGCAACTGTAACTTTTAATATTTATTTTGTTCGTCCTTTCGTATGCACGAAATCTCTTCGAAAAGGTTTTGAGAGTCGCCCGCAAAATAAAAACATTACTGAAACTTTCGTCGCATCTCTCGTAAGTTTCGAGTCGACGCATATCCCATTTCAGTAGTAGGCCGTGCAAAACCGGCATTATACGTAAACAGTTTTTTAACGGTGGTCTGTGTTTTAGACGTCAAACACGACTTGTTCGAAGTCAAAACGAGAAAGGAACGCACTGCGTTCACGAAAACTCAAATAAGGGAACTAGAAGTGGAGTTTTCAAGGTCCAATTATCTCACGAGGCTCAGACGATACGAAATAGCGGTGGCGTTGGATTTGTCGGAGAGACAAGTAAAAGTTTGGTTTCAAAACCGGAGGATGAAGTGGAAAAGGACCAAAGGAGGCGAGAGGATCGGCAAAAGGATTAAAAAATCGATTTGAAAATCGTCGATTTTCTTGTTTAAGCTATGTAGATATATTTTAATAAAATTATATTGGTTTCATTGTTGGCCTTTGGTCTATGATCCCGTCGCCTTACATAGTTGACCCACAATACACCACGGTAGTTCGCGTTAACCAAGCGATATTTTATAATTTTTATAAACAGGCAACTGGATGCGCCTTGCGAGAAATATTCGACTTTAATTTTTAACGTTTTTGGGTTTAACACCTTAATCCCCGATTTGAAAGATTCGCCTTCACCGGGAAACGCCGGTAAAGTAAAATCGATCCGATGCGCTATCGTTCGCGAATGGGTGGCTAATTTTGATTGGGCGAGTACGATTTTATATTCGCGATGTTATAATCTAGCACTGCGAATAAGTAAACGGGAAGATGAAGTCGATTTATATTATATGGAGCGTTTTACTCGTGGTTACGCTTCAGTGCTTGGCCCAAAACGTACGGAAAGACAAAGAGAAGACGCGGCTGCCGCCGTGCCGAGCGTGCAGAGTGTTCGTGGATTCGTTCAAGAAGGGCCTCGAACGGACCGCCAAGTACAGGTTCGAGGGCGGCGACACCGCCTGGGAAGAAGAAAAACTCGGCAGCTACGCGACCAGCGAAATTAGATTCGTCGAAATCCACGAGAAATTGTGTTCCGAGGTAATCGTCGGGAAAGACCACTGCTACGTGCTTTTGGAAGAATACGACGAGGTACTGGAGAATTGGTGGTTCAAACTTCAAAAAGATAGGCCCGACTTGCTCGAGTACCTCTGCATCGATACATTTAAAGTGTGTTGTCCCGACTTGCACTTTGGTCGGGACTGCACCCCGTGCAAAGGTTATCCCGATAAAGTTTGTAATAATAGCGGCAAGTGCAGGGGTTCCGGCACGCGAAAGGGCAACGGAACGTGTCAGTGTGACGTTGAATACGTGGGCGAATACTGTGAGCAGTGCGCTGATAATTACTATGAGTCATACAGGGACGAGAAAAAGTTGCTGTGCTCGCGTTGCCACGCGTCTTGCGACGGCAAATGCACGAAAGCGGGCCCAGAAGGCTGCGAAAAGTGCAAACTCGGCTTCCTCCAGTCGGAAACTGGCTGCGCAGACGTTAACGAGTGCTTAAACGCGGAGTCTCCGTGCAGCACGTCGCAGTTTTGTGTTAACGCGGAAGGCAGTTACCGTTGCCTCGATTGTGATAAGTCGTGCGACGGATGTCGGGGCGACGGGCCCGACGAATGCGTAAACTGCGCCCCTGGTTACAAGAAACGCAACACTCTCTGCGTCAGCATCAACACCGAAGACAGGAAACTCCACGTGTCGGTGTATCGTTATTTGACGTATTTGGGGCTGTGTGTGTGTACTTATATAGTGTCCAATAAAAATATGTATTTGGCCGCGTTTATTGGACTTTGCGTCGCTCTCTACATCGCCATGTCGGAGTATGTTAACTCGGGAGTGTCTGAAAAAGGCGACGTCGGCGAACAGCTCGCGGAACAAATTATGAAATCGTTTAAGGGGTGAAATAAATTTTGTTGACTGTCGAACCCTATTTGAGTATTTAATTACAAAATACCTTCATCGAATACCGCGTAAAGCTGTTGAACAATGTAAAAATAATAAATATCACCCTAACCTAAAAGTTTTGATGATTGGCCGACTGACCTTGGCATATTGTCCAACACACGCAAAGGACTAAAAACATCAAATGACCCTGGCACTCATCGCCATTATGAAATCGTTTAGGGGGTGAACTAAATTTTATTGACTGTCGACTCCCGCTTGAGGGTTTAATTAGAAAATACCTTTATTGAAAACCGCACAAAGCTGTTGAACAATATAAAAAGAATAAATATCATCCTAACTTAAAAGTTTTGACGAGTGGCCTTGGTATTTTGTCCAACACATGTAAAGAAGAACCTAAAAGTATCGAAAGGCCCTGGCACTTATAAATTCATAGAGTTCGATTTTTTGGATTCTTTATTTCCACTTTCGTCTTTTTTTTCCTGCAGTTTTTGTTCCCCGCACTTTTTTCCAGTTTCCTCTTCTTGTACTCCTTATTGAGATCATCATATTTTTTCTTCATAATTTTGATTTGCTCCTCAGAGATGCTCCACTCGATCACCGTGTCGGGCATATGGTTTTTGGTGGGGTCAAAATGTTTCGAGTACTCTGGTATTTCAAGGCTCAAGTTCTTCACGAGTTTTTCCAACACGCCGTCCACATAGGAATTTATAATGAGGTCCGCTTTTTTGTCCTACAACCGTTTCGTTTCTAAGATATAACATACAGGCCAAGTCCTTAAACTTACATGTTTGGTAGGTTGTAGGTTCACTATAACTACACGACCGTCAAATTTTTTACATTTCAATGGCAAATTACCACTCGGTACTATTTGCAAGGTAGTGCCCAGACAAATGTTGAGATCGGCCAGGCTGGAGTGATACATGGAAATTTCTAAATCTCTTTCGGGTAGGTCTGCCTCCCAGTCAAGTATAGTGTCCCTCAATTTACCCCTGCAGGTCCGGCCTCGTAGCGATCGTCTGCAAGTCTCGCCCAAAAACTTTTGACCGACTGTGGAAGTTGGGCACCCTCTCACAAATTGGCTAAAATAAAATCCCACTCACTCTAGCCTCACTTTAACAAAAAAAATACAATGCCTACTTGTCACAAGTGTCGCATTGTCCGATAAACATATTGCCGTGTAACTCTGCCAAATGGGTGCGAGATGTGCCCGCTCTCAAATGCAGTCCATCTATGTTCTGACTGACTATGTAGTGGATATATTGCTTATCTATCAAATGTTTGAGAGCCATGTGCGTCTTCGTCGGCACTGCCTCGTTAAACGACACGTTTACATCGGGTTTTTTACCCTCCCTTTCTAACGTCCACACGCCGTTGGGGCCCCTAAAGTCCGGTATACCCGCCGCGGTACTTATACCGGCACCCGTGTGAACCACCACATGTTTCGAGTTTAAGATCCAAGTCGTTAACAATTTGCACTTCTCCTTAACCGTGTCTTCGTCGTCGAATTGCTACGGGAGCGGGCTTGCGTTTATTAGCCAAAAGGTTTCTTACCCTTACCTCTGGGACACCCAGAACGCCTTTATGCTCGTAAGGGGACAGACCGTCCGCGTAGTTACAGGACATCGTGATTACTCTTTATTTACTTTTTAGGATCATTTATAGCTATAACTACATCTTTTTGGCCACCGGTTCACCATTTGTGGCAATTTCTCAAACAAAAATAAAAGTAGTGCTGGGCTTATTCGAATAAAAAATCTTAGATAATAATTTAGAATGAACGAAATATGTGAAAAGCAATCGGGTGATGCGCCTATGCCCATCACTTCTTCTTCTTTACTTCAGCTCATTACTAAAAAAAGCCACCCTTATAAAAGAAGAATCCGCACCGGATGCCAGATACTGGGCCAACAGAGCGCAAGAAGTACTTTTCTCTCTTTTTGCAAGGTAGTTTGTCCATGTGGAGAATAATAATTCCGTAAAAGACAAAATGACGGAGAATAAAAGTGCGGATACGCTTTCGTTGGTGAAAAGTGACCAAAGAAAGTTTTCGAAAGAAGTTAAGAAATTGAGAAAGAAATTGCAGGTAAAGTTTCGTTCCCTTTTGGGCTTTGAAATCCCTAACCGCAAAAGTTGCTGCAGGACGGCACCATATCTATCAAGCTATACCAAGTGGGTGCCAAGCAAAAAGTCGAAAGCAAGAGAGGTTTGTTGTATATCGCACACATCCCGCACGGTTTTTACGAAAAGGAAATGAGGGATTATTTTAGTCAGTTCGGTAAAGTGACTAACGCGAAAGTGTGCCGCTCGAGGAAGACTGGCAATAGTAAAGGATACGGTTATGTGGAATTCGCTCATGCTGAAGTTGCCAAAATCGCGGCTGATACGATGAACAATTATATAATGTTTAAGAAAAGAATCGTCAGTAAGTGAAAAAAAGGTAATTTTTCAAAATCTAGCAATGTATTTTTAGCAAATTATGTACCATATGAAAAAAGACCGAAAGGTTTGTTCCCCAGCAAAAGCAGCAATCTGAAGCATTCATCAGTAAAAACGCGGCGCGGCAAAGAGAAACATTCGAAAAACCGCATTTTGGAGGATAGTGTGATAAAACAAAAACATAAAACTTTAATAAAGAAACTGAAGGGCAAGCTTAATAAATTGAGAGCTCTGGACATTCAGTGTAATGTTTTGTCTCTTGGAGTTGAGAAGCAGGTAATTGTAGAAGTTTAACTTTTTGAGCCAAACAACTAATAAGTACACTTTAATTGATAAATATGTAGCGGAAGGGGAAGAGACCTGTCACTGAAGATATTCAAAATGTACAAGAGCCCGAGGGACAGTTTGTCGAAGTGGATTCGGACGTAGAATTTAAAATACCAGCCACCAAAAAGCTGAAAACGTCTATAAGCCACTCGCAGGCTATTAAAGAGAGGATTTTAAGGCCCTCTCAAAAGTTGTTGAAAAGGGTGTTGCGCTCGCGGGACAACGAAACCCAACCATTGGTCACAAAACCAAAGCAAAAGGCTGTAAAAGACAGTCCTAGAGGTGGAGGTATAAAAAAATCTAAAAGAGGCAACAAAGTGCCTATCAACACGGAAGCGGTTAAGAGGATCGCCAAAGGGCTGATCCGGCAACGCAGTGCAAACTCTTTGGTGAATTTGGTGAGCAGCAAGGAAGTCAAAAATTATAAAAAATCCCCAAAAAAGAAAAAGTGAAGACTGTAGGGACAAAGTTTTAATAAAAATATAGAAAACTGGAGGTTGCCAGGATTTTTTTCATCCCTCTTACTACTAAATCACATTTTTATCATCTTATATTTTTATATTTAATCAAGTACACAAAACAAATAGATTATTTCAAAGTGTCGACGTCGTCACCTCCGCCGCCACTCTTGGTAGGTTTCTTCTGGTACTGCCTGAGCCTGACTCTGGGCATCTGCTGCTGCTGAATCAGATGGTCAATGTCCTTCTTCTGCACTGGCTTGAGCGACGCATTTATTATTGACTTTCCCGAGTTTTTCAATACGACCTGGCCATTTTTTAACTCAATGACACCTTCTTTGGCCAAATTCTTGATCTCCTCCTTGGTCATGATAAACTTCTGCACTTTGACGACGCGATCACCTACTATGACGTTAGTCCGCGACTTTTTTGGGATGCTGTTGAGCAGCTCCCGCGACAGCCTCATCTCCGCCGACGAGTCGGTGATCTCTTCCAGGGACGCGGTCTCCAGCGTCGCCTCCGCTATGGCCGCCTCCTGCATCACGGGGTACGGCCGTTTCCTATCAACAGGTCCTTTCCGCTTGTAGACCTGGAAAGAGCGCGAATAGTATTACGACCTCCTTTCCAATTCTGGGGATCCCTACTTTGGTGCCTTCGCTCCTGACGATAGGCCTTAGCACCTCTTCTTGCTGCTCTGCCTCTGGCGACTCCTGCGACCTACTTTCCTCCTCAACCTCCGATTCGATTTCGGTCTTGAAAAATTCCCTGATATATTTCTGTTCTTCGGGCGGTTCCTCTTCCAGCTCCCGTCCGTACAGCACCTCCCCCGCCTCCATCTCGTAAATCGACTCCTGCCCACTCGTATGGTAATCTGACTCAAATCCCATCCGTTTCGGGGGCCGATTCTTCGGCACCGCCTCCAGCCCGCCCCCGTCCGTTATCGTGTACTCTTTCACCTGCAAAAAAGCGTCGGCGACATCCAAGCTGCCATTACAATTATCTCTTCTCCCATGAATTAATTACTTTGGAAGATGTGGCTCTATAGAACCCCGTCAGAAACATATACAGGGTGTCTCGAAATTAGACGTCAATATTTTAACCACGTATTCTGTGACCCAAAATAAGGATAAAAGTTCTTATAAACTAGGGACCAAAATGTGTTAATTTTTAACATACAGGATGTTAAATTTGAAGAAGTGATGGCGATTTTTTCTAATTATTTTTGAATAAAATTTGGTACAGTTATTAAACTTTTTAGGCTCTATTTAACGAACTAAAACTTAGTATTGGATTGTCTTTACGGGTGGGTAACACAGGGGAGGCGAGAGAAAAATTTGCTCCAAAATTTTTTGTTTGTCGAATTTTCGTAATTTCTGAAAATCAGAAGGTTTCTACGTAAATAAGGTACCCTTGTCGCACCTCGCTAGAACACACCGTTTTCGAGAAAAATGCTTTTAAAAATTTAATTACAAATTAGTAAACATTTAAAATGTAAAGTTTATAATTTTTATTAGAATAATTAGCTTTACAGTTGATAGGTTGATTGTTCTTTTGTTAATAAAAGAATTTAGAACAATCCAAGTAAAAACCATTTTTTACCAACAATGAACAAAATTGAAAGCTGTCGCAAAAGATCATACTTTGAACGCTGAAGAGCAACTTAATATTTTGTTGCATTTTGCAGAGACCCCTGAAGATTTAACCCGAAATGTGTCTTTAGATATAGATGTCAAAAGAACAACGCTTCGAACGTTCCTTCAAATAAACAACTGAAATTCATATAAATTCTGTCCAGTTCAAAAATTAGAGCAACGGGATTACATCATTTTAGATTTGTGCAACAATCTTATCGAGAGACACTTTTCAGAAAATATATTATTTGGACAGATGACTAAAATTTTTAATTGGAAAAATACCCATTAGTGGAGCAATAAGAATAATAAAAAATGTATGGAAGTTACATGATCAGGTAGAAATTCTGCCAAAGTATGATGCGCCATTTGGGAGTTCAGAATAATAGGTCTACTATTTTTTGACAAGAATTTAAATTCCCAACGCTAATTAGAGCTTTTAAATATTATTCATCCCTTTGTTGAAAATGAAGTGACTGAAAGGGAACGACGAAATTTAATTTGGCAGCAGAAATCAAGAAATTAGAACTTATTTAAATGCATGCTATAGAGAATGGATTGGGGAGAATGGTAACTATGCCTGGCCTCCAAGCAACCCCGACTTAACGCCCCTAGACTTTTTTCTATAGGGATTATTTAAACATTTAGTTTACAAACACAAACCGTCAATTTCCGAGGAACTTAAACATCGGATAAGAGGAGGTATCGAATATTTAATTAATTTAATTTAATCTGTTGGAAATGGCATTAAGTATTTGCAAACCCTTTATACTACTTGTATTGTTCAAATTAGAGGACATATTGAAAAACTGTTACAATAATTATTATCCGTTGTAGGCTATTAATTTTTTATTGATAGTTAGTTAATTAAATATTCACCAACGTTACCGCGTATTCTTGGTCTTACTCTGTATAAAGAATGCATACATACATTTACATAATGTTTGGATCTTCATAAGCGCATCGGCAAGATTATGGTCAACTATGAAATGATAAATCATGGCACTTGTTTTGTTCAAACGCCGTCATAGCCACCTTATACTAACAACCTATATGGCAACAGCATATTATTTGTGTTTAAAGGGAAATGCTAAATATGACAAGATTATAAAAATAGGTAGTTTCCATTAAAAAAAAGTTTTTTGGTACATTTGAACTACCGCCTGCAATTTGGCAGCATCGCGCAATTCGGTGTTTCTCGTTTACCTCGCCGTCATCGTCATCATCGTCCGCGTCCTCCTCGTCCGTTTCCATCTGACGGCTCGTCTCGTTGATGAACTCCTGCTCGATTTGCTCCTCGTACTCCATCTCGGCGTGTTTGAGCTCGTGCTCCTCGAGCTGTTCGGACGACTCGAAACTGTAGTCGCAGCGCTCGCACGGAAACGGCAGGCCCTGCAGATGCGTCGTGATGTGCTCTTTGACCATTTGGGCGGTCTCGAACGACGTGTTGCATATGACGCAGCTGCGAGCGAGCGCACATTAGCCCCGCCCCTCACAGTACGCGAGTCGCGGACACTTACACCAGGTTGACCATCGAGTGGATCGCGCTGTGATTGATGAGACTGTCCTTGCGCTTAAACGACATGCTACAGATGTCGCATTTGTGCTGACCGACGGTCTCCTCCGGTTTGCGGCCCTGCTCCGCCGCGTAATGGGTGCGCATGTGCCGGGTCAGATGGTGGCTGAGCAAGAACGTGCGCGCGCATATCTTGCACGGATAGGGGCGGAGCCCGGCGTGAGATGTCACGTGGCGCGCGAGGCGGATCGCAGTGTTGAAACTAGCGTCGCAGTAGTTGCATTTGTGCGGCTTGTCCTGCGCATGTGTCGCCATGTGCCTCTCGAGGCCTTGCTTGAACACGAAACTCTTGTCGCACATCGCACAAGTGAACGGCCGTCGTTTTTGATGTTTGCGCGCGTGCTCGTCGAGGTCCGGTTTGGACAGGTAGGTGCGATCGCAGACGCCGCACATGTATTTGGGTGCGGTCCCGTGGACGGCCTCGTGCCTGCGCAGCAGCGCCTCCCGCGCGAAACTCCTGCCGCAAACGACGCAGGAGTACGGTTTTTCGTCGTCGTGGGTGCGCTCGTGCTTGTTGAGGTCGTATTTGCTGAAGAAGCTCTTGTCACACGTCGAGCAATTGAAGTGCCTCTCGCGCTCATGGTTCGTCACGTGCAGCTCGAGCAGCTGTTTGAGCGGAAACGTACGGTCACAGTGATTGCACGCGAAGCACTCGGTCGCGACCTTAAAATAAAAAAAACCGATGCATTTATACATTCCATACATGTACGGTGTGGTCCAAATTCGAGGGGCCTCTATGGCTCTATGGTATGTCGTGGCGTAATATGTCAAGGCGTTTTTGAGCTACGGGGTGATTCTCAAAAATGTGTGATTTTTTCAAGTTTTTTTAAGCGGGAATCTGTCTATTTTACCCGTTTTGTCTTAGAGCCTTTAGTTCCCGAGATATCACACAAAGTTATATTTCTTTAAATGGAATACCCAAAAAAATCAGTTTTCTAATAAAATTTCATGTCGAAGGATGTGCCGTACACCTATTTTTATTAAACAGTTTAAAAAATATTTGCAATTTTTGATATTTACCATAGCAGATAAAATTTTGTTTTATTTTTTTAACTTCTCGTTCACAATAATTACCAACCCTAAAATAATCAACGGAAATAAAATTATTAAAAGCAATTTTTTTATTTAAAATGTTTATTAATTAAACTATGTAACACTTGAAATCTACATCTAACAAATTTCTTGCTCAAACTGACGGCTCGATTTCTTGTAAACATGTCCTACATCTACTCTTGACGCTATTTTCTGCATTAAGAAGTTCTACCGCTGCCTGAATGCAGTACGAAGTGCCTCTTCCAATTCACTTCTAGTAGTTGGGCGATTTCGAAAAGTCTTTGATCCTCCCCCACAAAAAGAAGCCGCAAAGGATCAGGTCCGGACACCTGGGGGGCCAATATATAGAACCTTTCTTTCCGACCAAATTAGTAACGTCTCGTGCATTGTGAGGAGGTGCACCGTCATGTTGAAAGTATAGCTCATTATTTTGCCGAAGTGGCAAATTGTCGATAAACGGAATTACCTGCTCTTCTAGAATTTGTTGGTATCTTTCGGCATTTAAATTTCCATAAAAAATATATGGCCCAATAATTTGCCTCTTTAAATCTTTCCCTGATTCGCTTGCAGCACTTATACCTGGTGAATATTCCGTCACTAGAAATCGTTGACTTTCCTGGTAAAATCGGGGTCTTCTTGGCATTTATTTAGGTACCACCTGCAAAGTGCACGTCTTGGAGCAAAATCTCATTGCCGATTGGGGCTAAACTTGTGTTTTTTAAGCACACGCACGGCATTGCTGTGTGGAATTCCAGGGAATCATAGCTACCTAGATAGATACCGTAAAATTGCATAAGTCAGAGTTAATAATTACAATTATTAATAAAAATAGGTGTATGGCACATCGTTTGACGGGAAATTTTATAAGAAAATTATTTTTTTTAAATTGGGGTATTCCATTTAAAAAAATGTTTACTTTGTGTTACATCTTGTGAACTAAAGGCTTTAAGACAAAATCTGTGAAACAGGTAGATTTGCCAGTTAGTCCGCCAAGTTGTCGCACCCACGTTTTAGAGGATGTCCTACACTTCTGCGACCTAGCGGTGATTTGTCGCGTGCAACTCTTACTATCCTTCTGTCGTCGATTCTGCTGATGTGTTCGTTCGATTCTTTCATTCTACTGTGTACCCATTCATTCACGTTTTCCACCTCCCATGCTCTTCTTATCCTCTCATTTCCCTCTATTTCTAACAGTGTTTTTGCAGCTATTCTGCGAAATACTCTCATTTCGGTTGTCTAGCAGTTGTTTAGATTTTGCTGTGTCAGGTCGAGTTTCTGCAGTGTATGTCATAATTGGTCTCACCGTTGCCTTATAAATTCTTGATTTAATTTCCACTTTGATATTTTTATTTCGCCCAATCATGTCATTGAGGCATCCTGCTATTCTTGTTGCCTTTGTTGCTCGTTCTCTCACCTCCGCTTCAATATCAGCATATCCTGAGATTTACATGCCTAAATACTTAAATTTCATTTCCTAACATTTCCTTTAACTTCCAGTTTGCATCTCAATGGTACTTTTGATGTCGTCATACATGTGATTAAGAGATTTATGTCTCTTTAGTTTGAAGAGAGTTTTTTTTATGTCCTCTTTTAAACATCAGTATAGTGGTGTTCGTTCGCCATTCATCGGGTATCTTATGTTAAAGAATTTTTGTAATTAGGGATTTTAACTGCTGTGCAAGGTATTGACCGCCATATTCAAGTAGTTCTTTTGGAATGTCATCTTGCCCTGGTCTCTTCCTGTTCTTTAACTGCTGCATTTATATCGGATGTCTCAATCTGTACGTTGTCGTCTGTCACTATTTCAGGTGTGTTTAGTTCAACCTCAATTTCTTCTGATTTTTATAGTTCTGACAACTAATTAACCCAAGTTTCTCTTGCTACATGATTAATACAAAAGTTCTTTCTATTAAAATGATCTTTATTTTTTTTTTATTTTCCTAATCGTCAGTTTTTCACAACAAAGTTACATTTTTTTAAATAGAACACCCCACGTTTTATTGCATTTTTGCATAGTCCTTTCAAAGATAAATTCAACTTATTAGTTATGAACTGTTTAAACCATCATTGTTGGGTGGCAAAATGATACTTTTAGCAATTTTCTTAAATGGGAGCCACTTTAATAGCAATTTCAATTATATAACATGACGGGTCTCTGGCTTAATTGGACATAGTTTTCCAATAGTACATAAAGTCTTTTACATTTATAATTTAAGAATCTTGTAAATAGTGTCCCTAAATGGAAGAAAACTATTAAAAAAATTCATATTCTTAATAATATAGACAACGTCTTTAAAAATATATAGAAACCTGCCTGTTGGAAGACACAACTATTAATGTTGACCTTTTTGACATACTCATCACAATAGCTTTGAAAACAATAGTAGTTCTCTGTTGTGGTAATATTCCTAATTTTTTGACAGGTATCAGTGAATTATATTTTAAGCGTATTTTTTCGGACTTCCACTATTTTCTATTTATTTTATTAAGTGGCTTTTTTGTATAATGTATGCGAAGGAGGAAAAAGTTGACCTATTAGAATGTTACATCGCCAATAACAGCAGTCCAGCTCTTGCTCTCAGACAATATAGAGCGCCATAGGCGATTGGCAGGAAACAAAAATATTAGGCAAAATATACATGGCAGTGTTTAAAAAAAAGTAGGAGCCGAAAGGTTTTGGATGAAAATATGCAGCTAGATATTCTTCTGCATTTTGAAAACACTCCAGAGATCTTGTAAGCCATTTAAATTCACACCAGTACAAAAACTACAAGAAGCAGATTTTAACTCGCAATGAAATGTGATGGATAGGCATTTTTTTAGATAACATAATTCAAAATATAATTTGGACCGATGAATCAATATTTACAACGTCTGCGGTGTTATTTAATATAAAAAATACGCATTATCAGAGTTCAGAAAGTAAAAAATATGTTTTTTAAGAAAACAGGCACTTCGGCCACTTATACATAATAATATTCCCCAAAGAGAGCATCCACATTTAGTTTGACAAGATGGCGCTCCTTACCATCGAAGTGCATTGAATTTGTCTTTAAAAGGACTATCCAAAAATGCAATAAAATGTAGGGTGTTTTATTTACAGAAATGTAACTTAGTTTTACCACCCCGTATATAAAAAAGGATTAGGAAAATTAAAAAAAATAAAGGTCATTTTAATAGAAACAACTTTTGTATTAATCATATAGCATGAGAAACTTGGGTTAATTATTTGTCAGAACTATACAAATCAGAACGCAAGGTGTTGGAAAGGATGGTTTTGCCAGTGCTGGACGGTCTTCAGTAATATCATGGTCAAGCATCAGCATGGGTTCTTGACTACTGCGACGAACCTTTTTACTTACACTAACTTCGTCGCTCGGGCTCTGGATAATGGCTGTGAGGTTCATTCCATACATACTGGCTACAGCAAGGCCTTTGATTTCCTGGACCAAGGATTATTACTGAACAACTTCAAAGTTTGGTATTAAAGGTGCGTTTCTATCGTGGCTATCAATCTCCAGGGTCGTACTCAACAGGTCAAGGCCACTTGTCTCTTCCCCAGCATAGATGTAATATCTGGCGTGCCTCAGAGGTCCCATCTGGACCCAAAATTGTTTCTTCTTGTGGCGAATGAGATAGGTCATAATTTGGAGTCAGATTATTCACTTTTTGCAGACGATTTACAAATTTACTGCTGTATACAGTGAGTTGATGATTGTGAAGTGCTACAAAGGGATATTATTTCTCTAGTGGAGTGGTGTAAGATGAACAATTTTAAATTATGTTTTCCCTCAATGTAAAAATCCTGTTGATTGTTCGTATAGAATGGATGAGTGTGTGTTGAAGAAAGGGCAAGTAATAAAGGATTTAGGTATCATTATGGACGAGTAATTGCGTTTTGAGCGGCACTTTGAGCAGGTCATTAGCCAGACTAACTGTATGTTGGGTCCGAGATTTTGGTATGTATTGTTATGCTTTACAGTTCATCTTGGAGTATGGGTCAACAATCTGGTCTCCTTTTTAAGAAATTCGTAAATGCCAAATTGAGCAGAACAAGTTTTTAAGGTATCTTAGGTATAGGATAGGCCAGAGCAGTTCACAAATGGATGTCATTGAAGTGGGGGGGGCTTCATGGACTGGCTATTCTCGAGGACCTTAGAAAATTTCTGGATTTGTCTTTTGAGTGATAAATGGTGCTATTAATTTTCCTTGTATTCTGCCAAGTTTTGATTTTCATGTAGTGACTAATACTCAACATCAGAATATGCCTATCTTCTTTGTAAATCAATACAATACCTTGGTGTTCCTTTGAATAGCTTTAAAATTAAATTAAGGCAAATTTTCTTAAAGTACTGCCATCTGAATGATATTAACTTTTTTATTGTCCATAGTTTTTTTTTTCGTTATTATGTTCTAGTTTAAGTAACCATTACTAATATTCAACATAAATTTTGTAAAATGGTGTGCCCGTTGGAAGAATGAATAAAAAATAAATAAAATCCAGGTGGACTCTCTTACTCCAGAATTCAAAGGTAGGACTAGAAATTCAAGTTCGAAGATTTGTTTCACCGTGTCTTAGGTTCTTTGGTCTTTCCATAGTGATTTAGTTTTTGTTACCAATTTGACTTGAATATACATATTGGAGAGGGCGCAAATGCTATACATTCAAACAGATTCTTCAAATTTTAAATCTAATCGATGAGATGATGAGATCATGATAAGTGAGGTAGACAGGAAGCAGCCCGCACATTAACGCGGGACGGAACGGAAAAATCATAAAGCATTATAAGGGTTCATTACCCGACCCGTACCCGTTCCTGTCCGCGGTATTGTGTGAACTCCTTTGTTTCAATGGAAAAAACACACAAATTTCAAAATGCTGCAATGGATTTTTTTGCAGATCATTTAGAACACCAGAATATAAATAGGGAAAAGTTTATATTTAGGCCAACTGAGGCTCAACGTCACCTGCTGAACGGCCTGGTTAACATCCTCGTCATTGTCACTCTGGGTTTCAAGTTCTTGGGATCCGTCATTGACATATATAATTTTTTCGATTTCGTTTTCTTCTGGTTCGCATGATGTGTCGGTGGGGCCAGCTACTGTCAACGTTACAACCTCCGAGCCGTCCTCTAGTTTGATAACCCGTTGTCCGGTCTCTTTTGAAGCAGGTTCTCTGCAGATTTTGAATTCTCGAGGTGCTATGGGCTCCGCGATATCTTTGTGCGGCACCTGTTCCAGGTTAGGCTTGGTCAGTTTGCCCGTGTAGAGAAACAGCTGCAAGTCGAGTATCATCCAAGACGCCTCTTGCCACCAGCACCGTTACTCACCCTAAGCGCGTCATCGGCCCTCTTACAGTTTGTTTTGAATATGTAGGATCGGGCGGTTTCTCTTTTGCAATTCCCGCAGATGAGCTGTGGCATTCCATCATTGGGAAATACCTAAAGTAGAAAAAAACCTTAGAAGTCGGGTCGAATTGAGTTTTTGTAGGTTAGGCGGGGTCGGTCGGCCGTACAGTTTTCCTACGGGTAAGTGATTACAGACCTCGATAGCGACGCAGGCCATGATCTGCACAGGTAGCGGGACCGATTGTTTGTTGTGTTCTTTGCTCGACTTCTGGCAGATATTGGTAAGGTCGTTTTCGTCGGCGGACAAGCAGAACCTGCATACCTTCATTTCGCTCAACGAACTCGAACGATCGTCCATTTTCGCGTTTTATTTAAAACGGACAAAACGAAAACATCCGCGTCGACACAGCGCCGCCAATATGGTGTTCGACCGTGCTTCCTTTCGATATGTCGCGACTGGATTGAAAACTTGGCCGACAGAGGGCGAGGATCAATAACGATGCCCTGTTTAACCGACAGATGTCGCGCGTATAGATTCAGCTGTCGCATATGCAACCGCGTATACGCTTAATTTTTTCGTTACTTACCTTCGTGTTCTATGCTATCAGTTGTTTTTGACAAAATATGGGAAACTTTAAACGGCTTAATTCGGTTCAACAACTTTTATTGGATAACTTTTGAGTTCATAGAAATCGTTGATTAGGAAAGGCATATAAATTAGTTACATAGAAGAAAACAATAACACGTAAATAACAATACCAAAATATATGTTTTTTATAAAGACTAGAGTATGCGACTTCGCCGCAATTGCAATATTACAATATCGATATTAAAATATATCATCCGTACAACGTTTAAAGTATTGTCACGTCATCTGTTGGCATTCCGAGTGTATATTGACAGAGACGATTTTTTGTTGACCGCCTTTATGACATTCGAGGTCGCTATGTGATGTGGATGGTGATTCCGCAACGGGCGTAGATTCGGCTGCCTTAAATGCTAAAATTCGTAGACATCTATAGCTTCAATATGTTAAAGGGTAATGAAAGGAGGGGGATCTTACAAGGTAAGGACAAGGGGTGTAGGTATTGGGCTCAAATCAGGACGTCATACTTTTGGGAGGTCCCGGGGCTACCGATCGTAGCTTTCTCTACAAAATAGGGCTCACAGTTGAAACAATACTTTCCAAGCAAACTTGGAGTTGAAATCTAGTATCTAGTAAACGACCACTCACCGGCTTCCGCGCAAATTTGTGTACAATACGTATCCCTGATGATGCGACAATTGTCCATGTTAATCTTCATAAATTTGTAGCCGAAAAGAAAATAACCCAGACCGCCCCCTATAACTGCGGATACCAAAAGCCACGCGTCATACAGCATAACGGATAGCATGATTAAGTAACCTAAATTCTGCAGCAAGATCCATAAAGACACATCGGTACCAAACAATACGGCTCTGAAATAATTTTTTGATATCGTATTCGCTTTGAGGTTAGGGTAACCGCGTTACCCACCTATCGAAAAGTGTAATATTAAGGGGGTTCCTGGGATTGCTTACGGTTTGCGCCAGCAATTTGGAGCTCTCCGTGGGGCACAGCATCTTGATCTGTTTAGCCCGTAATTTCAACTCCCTCTGTTTCGATTTAGTCTGCAAATATCTCAAGTATTCGAACGCAAATGCCATACTTCCGACGAATATGCACACTGCCAGCAGGCCCGCGGTGCTCTGGACATTTACACCTTTGACGAGGTACACTCCCAAATCCTTGCCGAACCAAAACGACTGCTTATGCATTTTTTCTGCGATGCGTTTATCCGTATGTCGACGACATTCCTCCCGTTATCGACGTTCGGTCGCGTTATCTGCTTCGTTGAATAGTTTTTGTCATGTTTTTCGTTGTTGAAAATTTTCTCTAATATCCAGTTTGACATTGAGAGAAACTTTCAAATTTCAGCTCAGGCAACCAACGAAACAGGTACACGTTACCGGGGTTGCACAAACACGGAAATTGGCAATACTACCCCAATACAAGTAGGCGGTGGCGCGACGCTTCCGGGTCAACCGAAATAATTTGCTACGTCAGGTGAAAGTTCAACGCAGTGGCCTGTGCCTGCGCACGCGTCATGGTCGTCCTTCAGTTTTAATTTTACTTTCTTTTGTGATTATTCAGGTGTGTTGCGAATTGTGCCCCAGTAAGGTAAATGACCATTTTTCATCAAAAACGTTTAATATCAGCTCTTTATGTACAACACAATGGCATTACTTAAAAGGTAGTTTATGTCTACGAGTACATTGAACACGAATATAATACGTAATAAGTTAAACGTTACAAAATGCGAAATCAATGAAAAACACACACACGCTAGATGTTCCGGCGATCCGCCTAGGCGAAATTGTCGTTGTCTTTGTTGCCGTCCAATCTCCTCAGCTGAAACGAACGTGTAAAAGATTTGGTAACACTGTCGCGTGGATTTGATTTTACCGACACCCGTTTCGTAGCTCAAGCGCTCCCCGGCTCACTACAAAACCAAAAGGAGTGCGGTCAGTCGTTAGTAGAAAATATCGTCGGAGAGTGACGTCACCCGCGCGGCGCATACGTCACTTCCCCACAGATAAATTGAATATAGAGGCCTAATCCAAAAGTATAATACGAAGAAATATATATTGTGCATTTATTGCCTTGACGTTTTAAGTATTTTACAGTACCTTCCCATATATATATATATATATATATATATATATATATATATATATATATATATATATATATATATATATATATATATAAGGGGCTGAGGTTTTGGAGTAATAAACAGTAGCCAAATTTCGTCGTTTCTGAACATGGCCGTCGACGATGTTTATTAGAAATATGGCGAAAAGTGCAAGGCGGTGTGAAGGATTTTTTTGGTCTGTATATTCAATGTATCTAGTGCCTTCTAGATAGTTTTGGATTAGTGGGCAAGCATTAGGGAAAGAATGAAGCAAGCCGATTTGGACGGGACGTTAGCTAAAACTAAATGCGTTGCGTTAGTCGCTGGTTAATCAAATCACTCTAAATTCGGTTCGACATTACTTCCTTCTCATCCCTGACGTTTGTGTACCTTTCGATGATCTTGACAGGACCGAGGGGCGGCGCGGTTAAGGCGTTGACGTAGACGAGGGCGGCGGCTATGCCGCCCAGCGAGGGTCCGATCCAGTAAATCTTAAAAAAAAGCGTCGAAATCGTTACCATGCACGTTAGTATATAGTCTGTTGATTTTGGCCAAAATGTCTAAAAGTCAATTCTGGAAAGGGAACTTATTGTTGTTACCGCAATGACAACAAAATGTAAGGGTATTACAAACTAATGAAAGAGATTACAAACTCAGATAAGGTTGTTTTAGGTGAGACTGAAATATTTGCTTGTTTTAATTAGTAATAGATATAAATATGGCGTACTGTATTTTTCATTAAAAAAACTGCGTTTATGTTTGTTAGTGCTATAAGAAAAGGATTAAAAGTGATAACTCTAAGGTTAATGTGTTTTGGTACTCTTATATACTTACTTTCTGGCTGAGCATTTTTTTTTTTGCTATCAAGTGCAAACATCAGAGAAAAAACATGTTTTTTAGGTCGCTACAGGTTCAGTTATCTAGTGAAATAAATCAGTCAGTTACTAGTAATTGCGGCAGTGGTTGCAGTGAGTGGAGAAAAAGATTTGTAGTGTGTTTTGAAAGAGACCAAACAAAGTGCGTCACGTGCAACAAAAATCAAAAAAGTATTATTTCCTACCAAACAACCCATCAAGTAGAGCTCTCAAGAAGCTCTTGCTTTTATACTTGACAGTTTCACGAAACAACAATACCTAGCTATCCGATTGGGTGCACAATATTACTGAGACAATGGCCAAAGTCCCGCTGCAAGATGTTCTTAATCACACCACAGGAAGAATTTTATTTATGCAAGAAGAGGTTTTTCTCAGCGTTTCCAGAAACCTACATTACTTTTTGAGTTATGGTTTTGATGAAAGCTCAGGGCAGGCTCAATACAAACAAAAAATGCCTTCTGGAGATACACAACTCGCTCAGATGGCATCATCCTCTAGAATAATGAAATGCCACAATCTCTGAATTGAATTAAAAATCTGGCAAGTGAGGAGGAAAATAAGGCATCCAAAAAAGCTCAGCCAAAATCTATTTTGGTCTCGTTTAAGCGTTCACGTCGATAAGCCAAATTCCATTTTGTATGGATCTACCAAAGAGTTGGACAGTGAACATTTGTGAAGTAGATAAAATTGTAAATACACATATATGTAGTTTTTCTTACCTTTTGTGCCCGAATGATTTTTAATATAATAAGTAAACAAAGTGTATAAAGCCGCAATTTTATAAATGTGTATGCATGTCCTACTAGATTCGCAGATTGGTATCATATTAGTTGATTTTTTAATCAAGATCTAATTTTACATTTCGCGTCGGTAGAAATCGATTTTGAATCCACAAAAATGGTTTCTTCCTTCATAACGCGGTGTATAAACTTCAAAAAAGTTTCAAATTATTCATTTACTAGGTCAGGTATGTAGATTCGTGTTGTATTTAAAAAAAAAAACGTAAGTCATATTTGACTTAAATTAAACGGAGCAGTTACCCAGTGATCGGTCCACACGCCGGCTACGACGGCCGACCCGAAGCTACGGGCGGGGTTCATCGAAGCCCCCGTGTACTTGATAAGGCCCAAGTGGCCCAAGGTCACGGCCAAGCCTATGGCGAGCGGTCCCGCGGCCTTGGCGTCCGGCCTATTGGGATCGCAAACGCCACAAACCACCAGGACGAGCAGGAAACCGAGGAAGAACTCGATACCGAATCCCTGGACCGGTTTGAGGACGGGATTGACGGTGGTGATCCCTAATCCGAGGTCGTGCCACTCTTCGGGCGTCAGAGCCTGCGGAAAGCGCCATATTTTAGAAACGGTGGCGAGAGCGAGCCGTCGGCGATGCTCACCATCAGGGTGGCGGAGCCGGCCAAGGACCCCGCGCACTGCACCACCACGTAGAGCAAACCTTTGATGAGGGGCACGCGTCTGACGGTCATCATGGCGAAGGTGACTGCGGGGTTGATATGGGCGCCGCTCACGTGACCGAGACTCTGGACGACGATGAAGACGACCAGGCCGAAACAGAAGGGAACCATGACGAGGTCCGCGCCGCCGAGCGTCTTGGTCACGACGACCACGGACCCACAGCCGAAAAAGTTTAGCAAAAAGTTGCCTAGGAATTCGGCCAGCAGGGCGCGCCACAGCGCGTTGATGTTGGACGCGGAGCTGACGTCGTTGATGCCGAGCACTTCCTTGAACTTTGACATCGTGCTCTCGAATCGAACCTGCGACATTTTGACGTTTTTCAAACAACCCAAATTGATTAAGAGGTCGCGTCTTTGTCGGGGCCTTAATGAGGCGCGGAAATGTCAATTATCCCAAAATCGATTCTTTACGAAGATTTTTCTTTACTCTGGCATAATCGTTTAAAATCGGAAGCGTTAACCTGATAATTTCAGGCAAACTCTGTTACTCTGAATATTTTCGGAAATTGTTGGTAGTTGAAAGTTGACATTTCTTGTAAATTATGTTTGTGGTCTTTCTTTTTAAAAATATTTTGTTGCGATAAACAAAACCCCCAAGTTTTTTGCATTTTTTGTATTTATTTTTTCCTTTTTTTTTTCAACAATAAGTAGTATTTTCAGGCAACAAAATCTCAGAAACGTCGGAAAAAGAGAGGATGTCTAATAACGATGATATAACATTTTTCTAATTTAGATTCAAATGTATTAATAATTATTTCATATTGTGGTATTTGTGAAATATTATTTACTGGCTAAGAAAAAGATTTGGGTTTGAAAGTTGATAGACCAAAGCGTGAATTTCGTAGCGCAAACGATGGCATTACGGCTAGACCCTTTTTTGAAAATTCTAATATTTCTGCAAGAATAACAGCTACTGTTGCAGACTTGATTGATTCCGAAGAATTTGGCAAACAAAATCCAGTGGCTTCGAGGTATATTCACACACAGAGAGCTTTTCAAAAAATTCTACAAAGCTAAAACAGCTAGAAAGTGGGTTGAGTTATACTTCGGCCAGAATTATAGTGTTTTCGCAACCCCTTATAGAATACCCTGCCTAGGAGAACCTTGCAAGTAACCATTCCAGGACCGTCCTAGGAATTTATCTACCTACACTAATAAGCGGGATATAAGTATGTTTTCAATCTTTTTCGCCGAACAATTTATAATAACTGTACATAAAAAAATTAGTACAAAGTAATAATTCATTACGTTCTATTTCGTTACATTTCTACATAGTATCTATCATTGTTTGCAGAGCCGTAAAACTATCTCAGCCCGAGTCACTGAACACAGAATTAAAATACCTTACCTCTGCTCTTCTCTCTAATAATTTCCACATTAAAAATATTAAGCATTCCATTAAAAAATATACTTCACCATAAAACCAGATTTACCACTTGTCCAAAAATCTCTCAACATCTTCGGTACGTCAAAGACAAAATTCCATTTGAGATGCCGAAAGTTTACAGCATTCCATGCATATGCGGCAAAGAATACATTGGAGAGATCAGACGAAATATATCAAGTAGACTCAAAGAACACGAAAGAGCCTTACGACTAAGATAAATAAACTCATCAGCTGTTCCCGATCACATTCACGAAACTGGATATAAAATTTTATTCGATAAAACTAAAAGTCTTGCATGTAATCAATTCTTCTACCAACGAAAAATCTGAGAGTCTATAGAAATCTGTAAACAACCTAACAATCTTAACCGCGACTCAGGTCTCCAATATGGGAATCATTCATCCGAGACGGTGTTTATGCCACTCATTTAGCTCCGCTCCCCTCAAACAATATATAAGCAGGTACAGAAGAAGCCAACAGTATGATTGGCGAATCGTCACCAAGGTCGACTCAGCAAAAACGGACGCAGGAGGAATCCAGAAGTGTTGTAAAAAGGATATAAATACTGTTGGTAATTTTTAGGATCCAAGTTGAGCAATATTTATTTAATTGAATTTTCCGAAAATCCAGATATGACGACACTTCTGTTCGTAGGACGGAGTATCCCCAGCTTCAAACACACTACTAAAATAGTCACAAAAAAGTTGAGACATATTTTGAGAATCATTTGTTGTAGCACCGTTGGCATTGATTTTGTATTTTTTTTATTATTAAGAAATGACCAAAAATGTTTTGTATCTGTTTTCAGATTTTCTTTGCTTTTTACAATAATTTTTTTATAGTCTGTTATTTTACTTATACCTTTCCCACTATTGTCTTGCTTTCTCTTTTTTTCCGCAGCAACTTCTTTGTGTTGTGGGTGAACCAAATAAGAAACTCACCACTGCTTATAGTTGGTACAAATTCGTTTATAAGATCATATATCTAACCATAAAATACAGTCGCGATTCGCAGCTGGACTCCAGTCATCGCCGCGCCTGTCGTGGTTCATCCTTTTACCGAGAACGTACTACTAGTAAGGATTATTTCGAAGAACGTTTATCCCGTAATAAGGGGAAAAGCCTTGCGCTATAGTTTTCCGATAAAGAAACGCGCATTATAATTTCCGTTGCGAAATAGTCGCAATTAGAGCGTAATCGCAATTAATTGCGACAATTTGGTCGTGGTTTTTTTCCGTATGATAATATTTTTTCGGTTTTTGTATCGATGCGCTTTTGTTTTCGCGCGCTCGCAGAAAATTCGAAGCCGGCGGGCGTAACGGTACGGTTTTGAGCAAAAAAAAAAACTGGACGATAAAAATGCAACGACCGATTTCCAACGTTATGAACTCCTATTTGCGCCGCAATACGGACAGCACCAAAGAGTACAAGATAGAGGGGAAGGTCGCGTATACTGTTACGAATGCCACCTAATATTTGTGTCCAAGTAGAAATAATTCATTATTTTAAGATTATCATTAATCATTTTTTTATTTTTATTTTTTATTTCAGTTGTTAATTAATTTATTAGGTTTCAATAATTTTCAACTATTTCGATATGATATATTTTTTTTTCGCATTTTACCTTTCAAAATTTAAATTGAATTGAACCGTACGTCCCGCGCGTTTTCTATTTTCATGACTGGACACAATCACTCGTGTACGGTTTTTAACATTGCCACTAATGAGAGCTTTCCCCTCTGTTTTATACTGTTCGGACAGCACGACGTGCGGCAGCGGGGGGAGACGTTTGAAAAAGATTTGCGGCCCATTTCGGTGGGTACCCGGATCGCCTTGGAACTCTCCGAACTGTACCACGAAACCAAATTCGCTCTCGATCACGATGATGACCGCACCGTGCCAATTATACAGCCGCATAAATCTCGGGTAAAACTCATCTGACTTTGTAATTCGTTCCATTGCCGAGGATTTGCTGAATTGAGCGCTCAACGCAAAAAAATACACCGCGGTTTAGGAAAATGCGTTTTTTGTCGAAAAACTATCATTTTTTGTTTGTGCCGCGCGTTCAATTTATCTATATTTTTTTTTTTTACATTATTTGTTTCGAATACTAAGATTTATTAATGCTGTTGTTCTAAGATGATACTAAAAAATAAATGTCCTTTAAAAGTTTTTTTATCATTATTTTTGAAATTTGTAAAAAAAATTGAAAAATCACACACAACATAATCGTTATTTGCAAACATTAAAATATTTGATCATTGGTCTGGTTTTTTTTAGGTAGTCCTGACTACGTAAGTCATTTTAAATTAGAAAAAATCTGTCAAAGTACTTCTCGATATTCCGCTTCCAAAAAGTGTTTATATGAAAAAGCTGCTTCATTTCCCTTTAGTAATGCTAATTTAGTAAAGTGAGGTTTTATGTAGTCGAGAATAGTTAAAAAAAAAGTTAAAGTAGCTAAGTTTTTTCCAAGTGACGTATAAAACAAAACACTATCAATTTTCTGACATATATACGTTTTTGACAAATCGGCAAAAAGACGAAGTTTTTATATAATTTGAAAGTGTGCCCTGACTGACAAATAAAAATATGTTTACGTTTTACATCCGTGAAAGGAGTGCTATGCTTCAAATGCATGAATTTAAATTCCGTAAAACTCAAAAACTAAGTGCAGAACAATTTCAAAGGGGGATGCAGTTTTTTTTGGATTTTTTAAATAGACGTGATAAGGAAAATAATTTTTTGAAAAACATTTTATGGACCGATGAAAGTTCGTTCACTACAACAAAGGGTTGTAATAGTCAAAATACGCGATATTGGTCTTTAAATAATCCTAGACGAATACAGGAAATCCTAACCCAGGGGTACCAACCAATTAATATGTGGTGCGGTGTCATAGGTGGGCATTTTTTGGGTCCGATATTTATAGATCAAAAGTCTCTTAGAGCACCAAATAGTATAATATATATCAGCGCTGATTATATGGCAGCAAGACGATGCCCCTCCCAATGTTGTGCAAGTTAACAATTTTCTTAACATCCCTATCCAACACTAGGGGTGGGATAGGGAACGGCGAAACAATGGATTGGCCAGCCAGCAGCGACGACTTAACTTTAATGGATTTTTTCTTTTTCACGTGTACAGAACTCCTTGTAATAATGTCGTGGAACATCGGCAAAGGATTTCAGAAACGTTACTAAATGCACTTAGAGTGTATGAGAAATGTGTTCAGGAAAATGGTTAATGTTTTTGTCCTACTGTCATTTGTAAATAATTATTGTTGTTGTAGTCAGTCACGGCACTCCTTGAAATTATATAAAAATTTCCTATTTTTGCCGATTTGTCAAAAACCAAAAACCAAAATTGATAGTGTTTTGTTTTATACGTCACTTGCAAAAAAAACTTGGCTACTAACCCTACATTTTATTGTTACAGTCACTTTTTGCATTAAAAATACTCGAGAAATCACCATGCGAAAATTAAATAAACGCTTATTAAATAACGCCCTGTACGTTTTTATGTTTTCCCTTTGAGATGTTTATGTTTCGCAATAAATTTAAATAATAAGAAAATCTTAGCTGCTGTTTGGTTATTCGAGCAGTTTCCGAAATGTAATAAAAGTAATTTTTTAAAAAAAATTTTAAGTGTCACGTATTCTCTTAACCGATTATAATTATCAAGGAAGATCATTCGCGACGATTATCGTTATCATTAGCGGGACGGTGTTAAACGTCGGGATGCGCGCATGACCGATGGCGTAAAACTACGAAAAATAATTCGTTCAGGCAAACAGGTTTCGAGTCGCCGTTTTATTGCGTTTGTTGTTTGAGCGTTTTACCGTCAACAAATCAACGCCGGATAGAAATAAATACGGACCCGACTATAATCTAAATCGTAATTTATATCTTATTTACGCACGGCGTTAACGCGCCGCGGAAAAAGTAAATAGACGCGTTTTTTTTTTTTTTTTTGAAGAAACTTCCACAGACTCCTGCGCCGGTTTTTGTTGAGTTGAACTTGCTAAGAAACCAACAGTATGATTGACCAAACGTTAGCCCGTTCGATTCATTACTCGAGGAAATTGCGCGTAACAAAGAAGAAAACTCGACGCTCTTCTTCCGCGGAAGACAAAGAAACGCAATTAACGGCGGCCCCGGTCTCTGACGGTCACACTCAATTGTTTGTTTGTGTTGTTTTGCAAAAATATACCCAAAAACTAACGGTCGTAGAAAAAATATAATGTGCAACACGTCTGGCAAACTTATGTACCTGCCGTTTACCACACTCAGACAATTTTAAATTCTACGTGCCATAAACTACAATTAAAATCTGGTGGACTATAATTTATACATTTATAATTTAACTTTCTCACAGAAATTTTACATACCGTTCGCATGAATGTTAGTAGTTTTTACATAAATAAGAAAGAAACATAAAGAATGTAACGCAATGTAATTTTTGAGGTGGTAATGTCAAATAATTATTTTTTTTTGAGGATGTTACAAGCCAAGTAAGATTTGCAACAAATTAAATATGCTAGCAGCCAAAATGCGCGAGACTTGCAGCAATACTTGTGTTGACAGAAACCAAAACGTGGGTTGTTATAATATATTGGGTTGTTCGGAAAGTCATTTCGTTTTTTTTTGGGGAACATGAAAGACAGTTTTCGTATAATGAATAAATATTTTATTAAATTATATATTGGCCGTCCTGGTCCAACACCTTTTGCCATCTTTCTGGCAGTAACATAATTCCCCTCTCATAAAAGTTTTGGTCCTTGCTGGCAAAAAACTGGTTCAGGTGGTTTTTGACATCTTCATTTGAGGTAAAGGTTTTGCCATCCAGAAAATTTTGCAGATCTGGAGAATGTGGTGGATGTTGCAGTACGTCCCATTCAAGCTGTAAAAGTTTTTGGCGAGTGACCAAACTTGTGTGAGGTTTCGCATTATCGTGGTGGAACACTACACCCTTCCTGTTGATTAATTCGGGCCTCTTCTCTTTAAGTGAATCATTCAATTTGTCCAGTTGATGACAATAGACTTCTGAATTAATCGTTGTATTGTCCGGCAAAAGCTCAAAAAAAACGATTCCTTTGACATCCCACCAAACGGAGAGCATCACCTTTTTTTGGTGAATGTTGGCTTTTGACACGCTTTGAGCCGGTTCATCTTTTCTGCTCCATGACCTCTTGCGTTTAACATTGTTGTATACAACCCATTTTTCGTCCCCAGTAATAATCCGCTTCAAAAATGGATCATTTTCTTGACGTTTGAGGAGCGAATCACACACGTCAACGCGACGACACAAATTTCGCTCCGTAAGGACATGGGGCACCCACACATCGAGCTTCGAGGTTAAGCCCATGCCTTTCAAATGGCCATAAACAATCGAATTCGACAAATTTAATCTCTCACCGATCTCTCGTGTGGTTATTCGCCGATATGCATCAACTAATGCCTTTATCGCATCTTTGTCAGCTTCGACCGGCCTTCCAGACCGTGGTGCATCTTCGACATCAAAATTGCCGGATCGAAATTTTGCAAACCAGTTCTGGCACTGGCGTACTGTTAACACGCCTTCTCCATACACATCCGTCAATTTTTTTCTCGTTTGGACAGCATTTTTACCTTTTCTGAAGAAAAAAATAAAATATGACGAAAATGCTGCTTATTGCTCTCCATATTTAAAAGGGCACCAACCAAAAACTACTGCGTAGAATTAATAGAACTTTTTCACACACAAGCCTTGCAATATCAGCTCTCAAGGCATATAATGTTTATGCGGCTTAAGTGTGAAGTTGGTTTCGAAAAAACGTAATTAAGTCCTCTGACGGCAAAAAACGAAATGACTTTCCGAACAACCTTATACTTATGGAGCACGATCTTTGTAGGTTATTTAATTATAGGCAAGGATTCAGGAGCTGTTGACATTTCAGCCATTTCGATTCGTTGGATTTAAA